GAGCATGATACATACAATTTCCAAATTTAAAGTGATTCTATACTATGATATTTTCACCATTTCATGAGTAAGAAAGTTTAAAATAGTTATCTAAAAAAGTGGTCAGTGACTAACCAGAACTTTAACGATGACTATAAATAGTGCCAAAATCATATTCCTGCCTTCGTGAGTAGGAGATAGAGTGCACTCATTTTTAGGCTCTTTCAGATAGAAATTCTTTTTTTTTTTTTTTTGCTAAGGTGAGTAACATGCTTGTCAGTCTAAGAAAATCATCATATGTATATAGTGCTGCATGAGGTCAATTAGGGATAAATAACGACAGGCTGGCTGAAGTTGAGGTTTATGGAGGATGGTGAACCTGACACACATAGTATAACATGTGGGTGAATGAAAAAGCATTGGTCAATTCAAACAAAGTAAAAAGTTAAGGAAGGACATGAAACAGAAATTAGCCTTGCTTCTAGAGAGTTCATTGAGAATGCCAGGTGACTAGGGAAAAGGGAGTGAATGAATAAAGGATAAAGCCAGTTTGCAAATGAAGGCTAAAGTCTATTACAGAAGATCTTTAAAGTTGAACACTTATAATAATGTAAATGGATAAAGAAACTTTACAATTGAAACATTAATTGCATTTGCTCAGCAGACACCTAGAAAAAGATTTGTATTTTTTACCATGAACTTAAGGAATATCTTATTCAAAAATGTTATTTTAACTGTGATTCAAGAGAGAGTAATTTTACACACACACACACACACACACACACACACACACACACACACACCACTTTTTCTGCATTTGAAGTGGTGATCCTGCTTCTTTATCTGTAAGCATAGGAACAAGTGAGATCAATCAAGGGAATTTATGGTAAAATAAAAATAGAATGTCTTCAGTACAGAAAAAATCATGGATTGAAGAGAAAACAGCTAAGTAAGATGGTAGGAGGTCTCAGACAAACTAAAGGACTTGGAGAGTAAGAGCAGCAACAAGACGTGGAGAATAAACAACAGCATGGCCAAGAGGAGAATTCAGGAAAAGACCAGAGATGATTAATGACTGCTGCATAGCAGGGAAATGTTCAGGTCTCCCTCCCTCCCTCCCTCCCTCCCCCCCCCCCCCCCCCCCCCCCCCCCCCCCCCCTCTCTCTCTCTCTCTCTCTCTCTCCTTTAGATGTGGTTCCTCCCAAAAGCTCACTTGTGAGACAATGCAAGAAGGTTCAGAGGAGAACATGATTGGGGTGTGAGTCTTAACCCAATCAGTGAATTAATCCCCTGATAGGAATTAACTGAGTGGTAACTGAAGTGGTAGGATGTGGCTGGAGGAGGTAGGAATTGGGACGTGGCTTTGGAGTATATATTTGTATCTGGCAAGTGGAGCCCTCTGTCTCTGCTTTCTGATCATCATATGGGCTGCTTTCGTCTGCCATAGTCTGCTGCCATGATGGAGCTGGCTGTATATGGACTGAGACCTCCGAAACCTTGAGCCTTTAAATAAACTTTTCCTACTCTACAATAGTTCTGGTTGGGTCTTTATGTCACAACAGCAAAAAAACTGACTAAAACACTATCTCTATCTTTATCTGTCTTTAAGATCTTTTTTTAAATGTCTGAATCCTCTAAGATTAATATCAGAAGAAATAACCCTATGGTCATGGTCTGACTTTTGTGGATAATGCTTATATTTTCTCGTGTTGTTTTATGTTTTGAAGGCTATAAAATATTCCTATTTTTTAAAGCACTCATTACCTTGTCTCTGCAAAGGGAAAAACAGATTCCTTTTGAACTGCCTTTCTGAAAAACAGAAGATCACAGATTTGAAAGTAAGCTCAAAAGGTTATTTTGTCTCTGGTTCAAGCAACTCCAAAGGCCTTGTCTTTTTGTACACTCTTCATTCTTTCCATGGAATATATTTGCATCCATTAATTGAACAATCAATCTGTACCAGGCACTATGCATATCGTTTAATTCTCCCTACTGCACTGCAAAGTAGGCATAATATTCTTGTTTAATTTTTCAGAATTAATGAGTATAAAATAAATACATACAATTTTTAGCAGATCTGAGATTGAATCCAATGCCAAAAGCTGTCCACCTATTGTATTATACCACAGAATGGCCCAGCTCTCTGTCTGGCCCCTCAAATTTAGTTTCCTCATGTTCTGCAGTACCTTCCTCCTGACTGCACTATTATCTCTGGAGGAGATAAAACATACATTATATGTGTGAGTGTGTGTTTATGTGTGTGTTTATAGAATGAAAGAGAAAAAGAGAAAGAAACATTCATAAAGGTAACCACATAATCTATATTTTATATGCACATAAAATATAAAATACGTAATATCAAATACATATATTTATGTTTTACATATAAATGTATCTTTTACATATTTTATATACACATTTAATGTAAATATAAAATATGTAAAATATATATAAAATATACATCTCATATAAAATATATAATATATATATAAAACATATATATTTTGTGTTATAAATTTTTTTATTGGATGTTCAAAACCTTACAAAGCTCTTGACATATCATATTTCATACATTAGATTCAAGTGGGTTATGAACTCCCATTTTTACCCCAAATACAGATTGCAGAATCAGCGTCACATTATTACATAATGCCATATTAGTGACTGTTGTATTCTGCTACCTTTCCTATCCTCTACTATCCCCCTCCCCTCCCCTCCCATCTTCTCTCTCTACCCCATCTACTGTAGTTCATTTCTCTCCTTGTTTATTTTCCCATTCCCCTCACAACCTCTTATATGTAATTTTGTATAACAATGAGGGTCTCCCTCCATTTCCATGCAATTTCCCTTTTCTCTCCCTTTCCCTCCCACCTCATGTCTCTGTTTAATGTTAATCTTTTCTTCCTGCTCTTCCTCCCTGCTCTGTTCTTAGTTGCTCTCATTATATTAAAGAAGACATTTGGTATTTGTTTTTTAGGGATTATATGCATATAAAATATAAATTATGTTGTTACCTCTATGAATATTACTTATGTTTCCATATTGTGGAATGGAAGTCCTGAGCCTGTGTTGGTTATAATTTTAAACATTAACCTTAAATTTTTCTAGTGGATGAGTTTGCCCTGTACTTCTTTGGTTCTCTTTCAAGTTTTTAATCATTGTTTCAACCAGAGTTGACAAAGCTGTTCTCACCCACAGCCATTTGGATCTAAAGGGCTTGTTCCTGAAGGCATAAACCTGTCCTTGAAGTGCTATTGTCTGCTCATCCATTTGAGCTGACAGCATCTTCAAGCTCCTACAACTCTTGTGTTGGCTTCCTTTCTCCATCAAAATTTCTTTCTATTTTCAGAGTTGTCTTAGGACATGAGGGTTGTTCTTTTAAGTGTGTGGCCTGCCTCTTTTCATCAACTGTAAGTATGCAGCACTTACCACATTCTGCCTTCTCTTAGAGTTAGCAGTTAATTCTCTGCTAGTTGATTAGTTTGTGCATGCTTCCAATCACTGTCAGTTTTCTTTCCAAAGGTGTCTGGACCCTGCCTTGGTAATTTAAGTAATAGTTCCCTGTATGTAGTTTTCTTCTGGTCTCAACCCATGAACTGTGGAAATTCCTGTGATTTCACAAACTCTCAGAGTATAATGTTCCTACAGTTTTCTATCGTTCCCATTTTTCTTTCTGGTAAACTCTTCTTACCTAAGTCATCATTTCTCCTGGAAGCATATTAGTTTATTTTTTCTAAAATTAATCAGTTGCATCATGGACTCAAGATAAACTGTTATATTCATGCCAATACTTCTGAATGTTGGGACTTAGGGAAGCTGAATTAAATCCCTAAATAACACAGTATATAGCAGAATGTTCTATAATGTGAATCCAATTTCTAAAGCCTCAGCCTCTCCCGACTATGCATTGTTATTTTCTCTGGGGAAGCTCCATTTCTTTCAAATGACTCAGTCTTCAACTCATCCTTCTTCCTCTTGATTTTTTCAACTATTGCTTTTTACTCTTTGTTCATGAGCTTAATGATCTCTTCTCCTCCAGGGCATTTTGCTCAAGGAAATTTCAAATTTTGAAAATTGACAATAAAAATTAGTTAAAAATTTATTAATTAAAAATTTTAATAGAAAAAAGAAGGCAATCTAGATATTTTTTCTTTTCCTTTTGTTTCAATTTCCTGATTTCCCTGTTCTTTTTCTTTTTCCCTAGCTGACCACAAACAAAACAGCCACCAAGATGCTCCAGCTTTAAAGAGATATTTTCTCTCTTTATTTAATAGTATTATGATGTGAAATTTTGAAATCAACATACATAAGGAAATATACAAATAAGAAAACAGATATCGTTCACCAGAAAATAGGCACTAATTCATATTTTTATTGTTATCATTTTAAAATATTGGAATTTTTTTTTGGGGGGGTGGTCCAGGGATTGAACCCAAGGGCACTTAAACACTGAGCTACATCCCCAGCAATGATATATATATATATATATATATATATATATATATCACCGAGTTGCTTAAGACCTCGCTAAATTGCTGAAGCTGATCTCAGGATACACCACAACTGCTGTAATTACAAAGTTGTGTGCCACAGCACCAGGACAAAAACAAGTTTTCCTGAAACACCTCCAGAAAGTTTTCTTCAAATAAAAATTAAAAATATATGCAAAAGTAATTATGAAAATTATTTTCTTGTACCTTTATTTGTAGAGATTGTATTATGTTTTAAAATAATAGAAAGTTAATATTCTTTTGTGTTCTGTCTATTCTTTAAACATTTTAAGTAGATGTTCAAAATTCGTAAAGCATAGCAAAATTTATATGCTAAGAATATTAACTCACTAAAAATCTTGCACATTTTTGTATTGTTTTCAGATTAGTTTCCTTTGTGTGGGAGTGTAATCAAATCTAACAACTTTTTTCTTTATAAATATATGGTAATGACATTTTTTGGGTGCTTTATATGAGACAAGTCCTATGTTAAATGCTTTATATTCATTTTATATTCATTGTTTCTTTTAGGACCCCTACAACTAGATGAGGAATGTCTGATTTCCTCCTATGGAAATACAGGTGAATTACAGCTTTACAGCTTAGAGATGTTAAGAAGCCTGCCTAAGGTTACAAGATATGTCAAAAACAGAGATAGAGTAAGAATGATTTGATATCTGAGAATATATTCTGAAGGACTATACAGTACTACAGTACTGCCTTTACTGATCTGTTTTAGAGTTATAACTTAAATAAGGTGTTCTTCATCTTAAGATTGTACATATAGCTAAATGCATTTCTTTTCAACTTTCTTGGCGTGCATTTTTTATTTGGATGTTTAAGCTATTTTATTTGCTTTTGGCATATATATATATATGTATATATCCAAATTTATTCAATAACTTATATGGGGAATCAACCAATTTATTAGAAAAAATTGGAATCCACCTTTATTTAAAAGTGAAAATTAAGTAGTTAAGTTATGAATTAAAATGGAGGTGGACAAAATCGTGTAACAGGATATTTTGTGTTGGATTGCATGAGCTGAAATGCATGCTAAAACTAAAACTATAGAATAAGAAGCCACTTTATGTGACACATGAGAATGAACTTTAACTTTGGATAGTTAAAATTGGGACCTAGTCTAAACTTCTGCCTTTTCTATAGTTTTCTAATTAGCTCAAGCACTCTAGTTGAAAGCCAGGGAATAACAAGTGTTAATTGTTTCTACCTAGAGCCCAGAAGAAAGCTAAAAGTGGATTTAAATAGTCTTTGATATTCCCTCTATTACTTAGAATTGTCTGCTCCTATTTGACCAGCCTTATATGGAGAGTTGGCTAACAGCAACTTCTCAAGAGAACAAAGTCCTGTGATGTCATGAAACAACACAAAGACCTACAGATTAAACAAAAATAGAGTCCTCACATTACTTATTCATGAAGCATTAATCTAAACTTAGGGTGTTGGTGAGTGTAGTTTGTCAGTGTGGAAGCAAATAACAATCCTAAAGTGTTAAGTTTCCTGGTCTGGGAGTCTATTCTGCCAATATGACTATTTCTTTATTTTTGGATTATTTGTTTGATTTATAGAAAAATATGCTGTTTGCATGTCATTTTGGCTACAGGTGAAAGGTTTTTTTTTTTTTCTAGGATTAAATTCTTTTTAGAAGAAAAATACTGGATTAACTACTCTATGCACAGAGGTTGAATACATGGGGCTATGATAAAAAATTAAATTCATTGTTGAAGGGAACAGATGGGATGTGAGTGACCACAAGGATAATTATGTAATTTGAACTCCTTTTAATTGTATTAGAATGCTATGAAATGGTTTAAAATCTACATAGGGTTTAGAGTGAAATAGGCCTGGGTTCGTATTCTGCCTCTTTCACTTATTTACTATATTAAATTGGACATGATACTTTATTTTCCTGATGCTCAGTTTTCTCCAAAGTAATAAGAAGATAAAATACCTCATAAAGATCATAGGTAAGTAAGTGAAATAAGACCTATAAAACACTTAATGCAATGCCCAACCCAGAGCAGCTACCCCACAAATCATGATTATTTTATTAGTAATAAGTAATATAAAAATACATATTAGGAAGCATAAAATATATTTGGTGCAGACTACAAATTAGATAAACAACCACAAGGACATTAATTTCCTTATGAAACTCAGCTCAGACTGTGTGTTGATGTACTTACTTCCAATTTCCTTTGCTTAGAGTTTAGTTAAGCAGATTTTTAAAAAGAAAATTAAAGCAACATAGAGTAGGTTAAATTTCATGACAGAATTTTCAAAGATCAAGGCTAGTATTCTGATTATTCTCATTCAAATCAGTTATATAATTTAACTAAGTTAAGAAACTCTGTTACTTTATTTTATATTGTCTTTTCCTCCACCTATTACTCTCCACACCCAGCATATACACACACACACACACTGCCCATGGCCTGTATTATATTTCTTGAGCCATGGAACATACTTGACCATGTAATAGCTGAATAATACAAATTGACTGGCTAATTGGTAGTATCCAACCTTCTCTGTTTGCATGGGGAAGAACTCCTCGCTTGTGCACCCAGAAGACACTATTGCATATTTATTATGAAAGAGGATGTGAAAGCTATCTGTTTGCTTTGTTACAATTATTCTACCCCTTAAATATCTTCAAACACATACTCACTTTAAACACTTTCCCCAATGCTGTCACATGGTAATGAAAGAAGGATTTTGAGTCCCCAGGCCTTCTGTCTTAAAGTTAAAAACTAAGCACTTCTTTCTTTCCCAAAATAGTAACAGAAGCAATAATAATAGAGAATCTTTGATTTAATCATGGATGTTTCATAGCACAGAGATAGACCTATAAACCCCTTCTAAATGTGTTATGTAACCATATTAAACTTACTATTAGTCAAGCCTTGGTCTTTATTGAGTACCTTAGATGAAGGTATTCATCTTAGATGGGCTCTAGTGAATCCCCAGTTTTCTAAAACTGGAATGAATGATGCTCTTATATTTAATTTAATCTAGTTCTTTGTTACACAAATTTATTTTCAATTTAATTTATCATGCAAAAGGGAGCTAATTTCTAGCCATTTTTTCCACCCATCTCATAGATAATCAACAGTGAGGAAAATATAGACACCCTTGACAGTCCTATGACTCATTAAAAATTTTTGTTATTGTTCCACAGATTTTCTTGTCTGAAACAACACCAAAATAAAATTCATAAATAAACTCAGGCTACTGTGATAAATGGAGATATAATTACAACAATTAAACAGACAGTACTCTCGAATGAGTTAGAAAAAAAGTATCTGAGTCATTTATTTTTATCTTGCAGGTTATTTACATGTGAGCAAAGTAACACACACACACACACACACACACACACACATACACACACACATACACAATTACTATAGAGGGTATTCTGATAAGGTACGGAGACATCTTTTTGTAGAAGCAATTAGGTTTCTATTTCCTGGATTCAAAATAAAACTTTTAGTGAACTTTGAGTTAAGCAGTCCAAGACACCGAGTGGACAATGAAAGAAAAATGGCTTGCTGACACTGCAGGAGTAGCAACGAGATATTTCGTATGTGTGTCTTTTTGTGAGAGCAAAGGCCTGAGATAGGAGATGACTAAGGAAAACATCTTAGACTGCTGAACAAAATTAATACATATTTTTATCACTCTCAATTTCTAACAGATTGCAAGAGATGACGGGATGAAAAAGTCAGTGCATCTTTAAAGAACAGAGAAAAGCAATACTAGGCCCTGGTGAATTATTAGATATGGTTGAGTAGAACTGATTTTATACAGCCCTCAATATATATTCCTAAATAGCAAGATTTCTAGCAGATTCTATAAATGTGATGCATGAAGTGAGCCAAGGAAATTTGTCTAAAATAAGATATGATAAGGTACAGGGTAGAGAATAATTAGATTCACTTAAAAATGAATTTAGACCAAATATATACTGTCTGTTGCCAAATTTAAAACAAAAACTTGAGGATATTATTTTGCTGGCAAAATTCTATACGTGATATTAGAATATGTCCATATTACAAGGAACTCCCTATGTAAGCTTAAGCTGCAACTAAATGTTGTCTTAACTTCAACTCAATAATATGGGCTTAAATATATATTGTTTGAACTGGGCATGTAGCTCATGCCTTCAATCCCAGCTGATTGGAAGGCTGAGACAGGATCAAGAGTTCAAAGCCAACCTCAGCAATGGTGAGGTGCTAAGCAACTCAATGAGTCCTTGTCTCTAAATAAAATACAAAACAGGGCTGGGGATGTGACTCAGTGGTTGAGTGACCCTGAGTTCAATCCCCAGTACCATGGATATATACCTTGTTTGAGTAAAGTAAAGATTAGTTATTCTTAAACATTTTTCCATTATGACAAACCTCTATCAGATTCCCCACACTATTGTTTGACCTATGGAACTTTAGTATTTCTTATTAGTAAGATGGATTCTAACCCCATACTTAATTCTTAAATCCTGTGTATATTTAGTTTCTGATGTTGATTTCCTGCTGCATCCAATTCTGTCCGTAAATCAAGATCTAGGGACTACATGGGTATGGCTCATTCTCTTGGTTGGCATCTTCATTTTATTTTTATCTTTGCCACCATCTTTCAACAGGTAGAGACCACAAATGTGCCACTTTTATAAAGTGGAATATATAAATAATTATGGCTAATTCAGTATCCTATAATAGACTCTCCTGATGAGCTGTTTTTTGTCCAAAACACATCATTATTATTGGTTAGAGGGACTAACCAATTGGATATACATCTCCTCCCTCCTGAAATTATTCTCTGTTAGCACACCTTCATGGAACTAATTTCCTTCTCTTCTTCTTTCTTCTCTTCTTCCCACTTCTCTCTTCTTTATTTCATTCTTTCCCAATACTTTATTTATTAACTACTTAGATGAAAGTGTTGAAGGTCCACCATTTGGGGCCTCCTCCTACAACCTCCTACTTTGAATACCATCTGGAGCTATGGAAGTACCTGGTGACCAAGAGGGAGCAGCCATGGGGATGTAGACAATCAAGAATATGGTGACAATGCTACCTACCATTGGTTATTTGGGAGTATAACAAATAAATATATTATTTTAGCCAATTTTAGATTTTCCATTAATCTCAGCCAAATTTATTTCTAAATGATACAATAATTAGTAAACATTGTTGAATTGACTAAGAAATGAATGGAAGCTAGATTTATCTCCATAGTCTTTCTTTTGTTAATTGTTATACACAAGGAATGTTATCATCCTATATAGAATTATTACTGGTCTTCTATGCATATGTGTAATCTCATCAGATGAATTATAGGACCTTCAGTGGCAGAGGATACGACTTTATTTTCTATCTCCACTAGTTTCATAATCAATAGGTAATAGGAACTTGATGATTACGATTGATAATGATGGTGATGATGTTAAAGAGAACAGTAGTAAGATACCTGTAGTGAAAAGAATTTAATTATACTTTCCACTGTTCACAGTCTCCTGCCTGTCTGGTTCTATTATATTATTTTCAAAGAAAGCCACTATGATAAACATAAAAAATCACTATAACTGTCATGAGAGCAACTGACCTTAAACTTGTCATTGCTTCCATATTCTGTCCAAGAGCTCTTGGAACAAAGTTCCTGATGTTTGCATGAACCTGGAGGCCACAAATATGCCCATATAAGCTTATAGACATTCCAGTAATTCTCAGGGAGAACAAAACTTAGTCTGAGTGAAATTTACTGTCAGAACAGCCTGTTCTTTTACAATTAAGGGATTTTTACTCTCAATTTCACTAGCAAAAATATGGTGTTTTATTTTTTCTACATTTTTTAAGGTCATTCTGCCCTGGGTAAAATAAAAATGAATAACAACGCATCCAGAAATAAAGGAAAATGAGAGGATTCTTCTCTGAAATGTGACAGAGTGGCCAGAATCTTTTATGGTCATTATAGAAAAATAAACTCTACTTTCTCCCTCACTCTATTGGTCTACCAGGCATTCTGAACCAGCTCCTTCACCTAGTTCTCAACCAGGTATGTTAAAGAGTTTCCAAGCTTTTGATGGACATCCTTAAGGTTGGGGCTTCTCATGGAATCTACTTTATAAGTACCAATTCAGTAAAAATAAAACTCACTTGAGTCAGTTCTTAGAGTCATTTAGAGGGCAAGATCATGGGTTATTTAGTCCCCTTTCACCTTTCCTGTTAGTCTTTTTTTAAAGTCCATATTAGACCTTATTTTCTGGACCAGACATAGTCATCATGGCTTCTGTTCTTGCCCAGATAATTTTACTCCAGTGACTATTTGAACTCTAAAACTAAAGCTATTTAAAGATAAGAGGTTGTTGGGTTGATTAAAAAAGACTCAGGATGATGTTTTGAAAGCTCATCAATTTGGAAGAAGATTTTATTTTCTTAATCAAAGATACCTTAAGAATGAAGCAGAGATTTCTGTTTGCAGTTACTGCTTTCATAATAACCGTAGAGTTAAAATACAAGGAAGAGTTTTTCTCCAACTGCCAGAATACTTCAGCCACTCTTTTTCTATTCTGTCCTCCCTGTAATTTCTTGTGACTCTTAAGGGTTATGCCTTTTCCCAAGTTTGTGAAAATAAGCAATTTCTGAGTCATTGTAGCCTGAAGTTCTATTTTGAACTTTTAAGAGGATGAAAGGGAAACAAATGAACCTAAGATATTATGAAGCACAGCATATGTGCATTGATGGTCATAATTTCTTCCTTTGTTCTGACTTTTAATAAAGTGAAACACAAAAATAAAGCAAAACATTAAAAAAAACACTGTTTTGATCTTCCAAATAATTTTGGGTTATGGGTTAAGAAGAGATATTCTGTAACTTCAGATGAAGAAACTGAGTTTCAGATAAAGATATTTTCTAACTCTCACAAATAATAAGTGGTAGAGTTAGAACATCACTATGAATTTTCTGATGCTGAAACTGCTTGTTGTCTTACACCGAGCTGCCACTCAATTGCAAAGAAACTCTTGGATAATTGCAACTAACCCCTTTCAAATAGCAACTGCATTTTAAGTAAGCATCCTATATTTATAAAAACTAAGAATAGTCCTTCCTTATTTTCAAAACAGCAGCTATTGATAGTGCACAACACTTCCAAAACCCCAACAAGACACTTATAGTCATTTCAATATGCAAATATTTGCTTCATAGAATTCAAGTTCTTTCTCAATCTTCTTATGCTAGACAGTAGAGATTTGCTATCGTCCATTTTTCTGTTTCTTTAGAATTTGTCCCATGGAGGAAAAAAAGGGGGTACGATTAAAAAAAATTGCCATTGTAGTTATTTCCATAGTGATATCTCAACTATGAAAGAACAGATCTTAGTACCTGTTTGTATTCTTCACTATTTTCCATTGTGCATGTGTGTATGCATGTGTGTGGGGGAGTGATATCCATGAGTATGTACAGTTATCACTATTCAAATAGATGATGCTAATGTTAATGGTGTTCATTACATTCAGTTAAACATGTTGATAAATTCATGAATAGTGATAGAGGTCAGTTTTCACAAAGAATAAAAGAACATGATAACTTTTAATGCCATTTCTATACATGTAAAAAGGTTCAGTTGATATATAGTTGTCTAAAATTAATTACAATTAGCTATAAACAATTTTGCTTTAAAAACGTCAGTTTATCACAGTGTATTGGAAAGATGAAAGTACTTATGGCAGAAGACAATTTTTCATTACTCTTTTTATCTGGGAAGCTCCCTTAAGTACTTGTATACAACAGGTATGCACTTTATTTATGAATAACGTAATTTTGAATTAGGAAGGACCATGGAAGTCTTCTCATACAACTTCTCACTCCAAATTCACTCATAAGGTTTTCCTTGATAAATTATCTTTTCTGTAATATTTCAATCAGTGCAATTCTGTGTTACATGACACAGAAGATAAGCTTCTCAGTTTGTTGAAACTTTCTCATTTAAATCAAAACCAGAATCCTTTTGGTGTTGGAGTTGTGGCTCAGTTGTAGAGCACTTGCCTACCACATGTAAGGCACTGGATTCGATCTTTAGCACCACATAAAAATAAATAAATACAATAAAGATATTGTATTC